GTATTGGGAAAGCTAGCTCCCCTCTTACAGCATAAGACAATCCCAGTCAGCACAAAGAGACATCTTATTCAAAGCATATTTATTCCAACTCTGTGCTACCAGTGCCAGACATGGTCACTCACAACAAACCATACAAGAAAATTAGTAACCACGGAAATGAGATGTCTGAGAAGGGCTGTAGGAGTGACCATAAGAGATAAGATCAGGAATGAGATCATAAGAGAACAAGTCGGCACAGAACCAATTCTGGATTACATACAAAGACAGCAAGCGAAATGGTTTGCCCACTTAGAGAGAATGCCTTGTGACACCATACCATGCAAAGCATACAAAGAGAAGAAGGACGTAGAGCACGGGGTAGACCAAGAACAAGATGGAAGGATAACACCAGAGAAACTCTACAACAGCACGATGTGCCTATGGTCGAGGCAGCCAGAAGAGCTAGAAACAGAACCTTATATCTCCCTCGACACCCACAGAGGTAAAAGAGGAAGTGAAGAAGAAGAAGTAATATTATCGCACACGTAAACAGGACTCAAGCCCATTGAGCTCTATTCACGGCCCTAAAAAGCATTAGGAAGGGATCCTACAAGGACTCAGGCTATGTTTCATTGTATCATAATAACCCAAAACATATTGATTTCAACGTTACCCTTGGATGCAAAATGCAAAGTTCTTCTTCTTGTGCTTCTTCCTTTCCACCATTTACCCCAGCGAGATGTTGGGGGAAGATGTAACGATCGTTTACGCGCTTTTTCCGATGCATTGTACAAGTCCTTGTTCATTACTGTTAGGTTGCTCCTGATGATGTCGCTCCATCTCTTGGGTGGTCTTCCCCTTGCTGTGTCTTCATTACATTTCTTCAGCGTGTCTCTCTGTCAGTTGGTACCAGGGCATTCTAGTCAGGTGCCAAAACCATGTCATTTGTTGTTTTTTAATGATTTGTATAACTGGTGTCAGTCCGAGTCTAATGATTTTATTCTTGATTTTATTTCTTTTTGTCACACCGGCAGCTCTCCTAAGACATTTCATCTCTGTTGTTACGATCTTCCGCTCGTTAGTTGTATCAAGGGTCCATGTTTTGCACTGGTAGCAAAATGTCCACTAAAAAACTATTCTTATAAGACCTGCTTTGGTTGACCGTGGTATATTTCTATTCATTAGAAGCGGTATTAGTTGCCCCATAACCTGATTTGCTTTCGCACACAGTGTGTTGATTTCTCTATCCATTTTCACATCATTATAAAGTATTTGATTAACAAACAAAAAAAATTATGCACAAATGAATATGATGGTGATGACGTTAATAGTGAAGATTAATAATACCAAGAACAGTGCAAATTAAAAATAGAAAAACAAAAACATGTTTATTACAGCAGCAACACGCCCTCAAAAGACGGAATTAATCTCCAAGTTTAGGAGGGTTTGATTTTCATGTATTTCGAAAGGTACATATAATAAGTGATGTTATAGATGATTCCGGCGACAAGAGTTGCCAGGATCAGCCACAAAGCCCATCGACTGTATTTGTAAGCAGTGGATACGTCCCCTCGGGATAAGGCTCTTCTTGACTGAGGGACGAAACCAAGCTACAACCGTCTTACCAGCAAAGATATATCCGGATGTTTCACTAACAGCGGAATCCGGTATTTTGTTTATAACTTGGTCACTAATAAAGTTAGGGACATGAAATTTGGGTAATAGAAACCCTCCCCCCCCCCCCCCCCCCCCACGGACAGTCCATATACATATTAGCTCAGTTTCGATTGGTCGGCCTCCAGCCTAGCTCACTTCTAACTGGTCGAATTTAAGCCACCCGACCTTGGCAAAAGATGACGAGAGTGTCTATATTCTAGCATTTCAGCGCCTTTAACACTACAAAAACATCGACAACTGGGTCTAACACACCACCACTTTAATGAGTGACGAAACCTGTGTCAAAGGCGTTCACTTTCATAGAATAAAAACGTTAATGCAAGACGACAATAGAGCAACATACCCATAACCTCGACCACAGTAGACTAGTCCACACCAAAGCTATCAATGGAACGTGACCTACTTCCGTGGGAAAACTAACGTCTGATTGACCGAAATTTGGAGTAGACTTACCTCCGTTTATGCGAAGTCAGATGATATCATAACAAAAGCTAGGCACGGCCACCATTGGCGTGCAGGTAGCAATACATCGCGTGACCTAGAGTCGCGTCCCTTTATCAGCTTTCCACCGTTTGCCACAGATGAGTCGCGTCAGTCTAGATGGACTTTCCACAACATGGAATGCCGCATCCAATGCTGCTTTGACGTCAACTGCGCCAATTTTAAGCACGTTTTATGATGTGACCTGACTTTGCTTATAGGGACGTTAAGTCCACTCTAAATTCCGTTGCCTTATCTTTATAAGTATATGGACAAAATACAGGGTTCCGCTCTTTGTGAAACATGTAATACATATGATGCACCTATGGCTAGGGACTATTTCTTTTTGCTTAGTATATAGTGCCTGCCATAGGCGTCGACACAAAGTAAACATTGGGTTTGAGGGCAAATGATGGTACTTTTTTTATTATTTAATTCATCTCAGGAACTCTGAGATTTCGTAAGGAATTACCCGGAAAGTAAAATAGAATAAGGATGAATGGCTGTGAAATGAATACCGACCAAAACTAACTGTATCTCTAAAATCCCCCCCCCTTCCCCTTTTTTTTGCATTAAAAGGAACTTTCCATTGAATCCCCTAAAAATCTCTGAGCCTCTGATATGGAGTTAGGGGGGGGGGGGGAGACTACCGTAGCTGTACCAGTTCCAGTACAGCAGTACGGTTAATGTTGAACAGTACGGAGGCGCTCAGAAGCGTGACGCTAACCCTACAAGTTTGAATCCTAGACAGCGAATGCTGCTTAAGCAGAAGATAAGTTGTACACAAACATACAGAGTGGTCCTGAGGCATGGCATCCGCCTCGAGTGCTGGAGGTCCCAGGCTCAGGCCTCGGTAAAGGCTAGGATTCTTTTCACTTGGGTTTCTCATAATGGTACCTGGTCTCGGGGCAGTAAGATTGGGCGCCAGTGTGTATTCCTGCACACGTTTTGAAAAATCCCCAGGCAGTTGGAAATCGAAAACAGTAGCCTAACGGCACTGCCTGGGCAAAAGAGTTTAATATGTCAGTCCGGGAGTAGATGTTCTGTTGTCTGAGGCAACTTTTCCCATGTGCACTGATATGCCTATCTTGAATAGTATGTACATGTTGTTCCTTGCTGTGTCCTATTAAAAGGCGAACGAAAATGACTTGTTCAGTTATGTACATAACAGCCTAGTCGTTTTATGCTCGGGGTGGTGATTTCCTGATCAATTTAATGAACATTCGTCATCAAAATAGCTAAGAGTGGCCATTCTGCATTGTATATTGTCATCCTTTTTCTTATCGGATATTTCTTTCACATTTGTCTTGGTTTGTACTGCTAGTTTTCGTGTTTCTCTTCATGGGAGAAACGATCATCTTTGCAGATGTGTTTGTCTAGCATTCGGATTGAGAATGCGTACCCTTTGGGTGTCAAACAGACAGACCATCAAACATATAAAACAAAACGACAACGATGAGATTGAAAATGCCTAACATTTTGAATATTTAGATTCAGTATTAAACAACAATGCCGACTGCAAACAAAACACACAAAAAAAAGAGAGAAAAAAGAGTCAGACGAAGACTTCCTTTAACAATACAGAGGCTAAAGAGCATGAAGAACCTATTACACAGCAACGGCAAGCAAGTTAACATGTAAATTTTCAGATCATTAATCTTTCCCGGGACTACTTATGGATGTGAGTCGACGACTCTCAGTCTTTAGAGCCCGGGACTACTTATGGATGTTATTCGGGGACTCTCAGTCTTTAGAACCTGGGACTACTTATAGTTGTGAGTCGACGACTCTCAATCTTTAGATCCCGGGACTACTTATGGATGTTATTCGGGGACTCTCAGTCTTTAGAGCCCAGGACTACTTATGGATGTTATTCGGGGACTCTGAGTCTTTAGAACCTGGGACTACTTATGGATGTGAGTCGGGGACTCTCAGTCTTTAGAGCCTGGGACTACTTATGGATGTGAGTCGGGGACTCTCAATCTTTAGAATAGAACCTGGGACTACTTATGGATGTGAGTCGACGACTCTCAATCTTTAGAATAGAACCTGGGACTACTTATGGATGTGAGTCGACGACTCTCATTTTTTAGAGCCCGGAACTACTTATGGATGTGAGTCGTCGACTGTCAGCCTTTAGAGCCTGGGACTACTTATCGAGTAAGTCGTCGACTCTCAGTCTTTAGAGCCTGGGACTACTTATGTATGTGAGTCGTCGACTCTCAGTCTTTAGAGCCTGGGACTACTTATGGATGTGAGTCGTCGACTCTCAATCTTTAATGGGAGAGAGAGAGAGAGAGGGGAGGGAGGGAGGGAGAGATAGATAGAGATAGATAGAGAGAGAGGAGGAAAGAGAGAGAGAGAGAGAGAGAGAGAGAAGAGAGAGAGAGAGAGAGAGAGAGAGAGAGAGAGAGAGAGAGAGAGAGAGGGGTAGAGCGATAGAGCGAGATTAGCAAATCGGAGCTTTAGAACTAAAATGCAACAGAAAGAAGAAGAAAAACGTCAAAATCCTGCATGACCTGAATATCAAGAAGAACTGGCTCGTAAACAGCATACTCTTCCGAAAGCTGAGATGTTTTTGACATGCCAGGCGCCATGGGGGTCTGGAGAGAACTTGAGGGAGGGTGCAGTTTCCAGGCAAACGAGGCCTCGAATATGGATACAGGATGCTGAAGATGTCTCGGCTATGAAAGCACATAGGGCTGGAGAAACGGCTACAAAAAAGTAGACTCTTATCCATGCCGTGATGAGAGCGACAAATGACATGCTGATTGACTACACGATGACGAGCACAATGATGGGTATCAAACCTTTATACAGCAGACTGGAGGAAAAACATAAAAGGAATGATGATGTGTGTTTACCTTAATGGTCAGCACAATCGCCGGAATGCCTAAGGGAAAGAAACAAAAAATACACGTGCAGACGGCAAGTGCAAGATGATTCTCAACTTCCTCTGGAGCTCGCTGGACGATCACAACTGTTGTTAAAGCCGCTGGCTGAGCCTGGGCCTGAGTCTGGGAAACATCAAGATTTGTCGGGTTAATTATCGGTTTTAACATTTCGCTACGGATAAATCCGATCCCTCATCGGGAAGCAGGCACTTTATGGATCGTTTTTCCCATTAAAGAACCCAAGTTAAATGCGTAATGTTCTGACCAATGTGTTTCTTATGTCCTACCTCCACTTGTGTGTTGTCAGCTCGTGTCTCTCTTAGTCGCCTTTATGTCCTCCTTGGTGGTAACATGTGGCGTTAGACCTTGCCAGATGAATTAGGTTCCTGAGTCAAGATGCTGTTTACGAGTCAACTGTCTTTGATATTCATATATTTGAGGATGTCAGTATTTCTGCCGTAATAGTAACTGACTCACAGAGCATGCTGAGAAAGGTGAAGAGAGGCATGCATCTTGCAGAGTGGCAAACATCACTCCAGAGATCCCAGGTAGCATCCTTTGCATATTTTCTCCAGGCCCTGGCCGGTTCTGCGCCACTTGGTGGTGAAATGATGTATGACAAGCTAGATATTGTGAGAGCCCTTTGGGAACGAGTGAACGGTGCGGATGCGCAGACAGATCATTACTGTCTGAAGAGAATGGCGCTGCGAAGAGCTACCAGGAAATGTGGTCCACGCTCAACACTCAAGGAAAGGATGAGACGAATATACAGTCAGACGGATTATTGTGCCATCGAAATTGGAACTATGGGAACGGAGCACTTATGTGTGTGTCCCGAGTGCTGTGATGTCGATTCATAATTCAACATTTAGTATTTCTGTTCATCTTTGTCCATAGTAATCAACGAATTGTTAAATATAATTTTAACTAAAATCTCGCCTCCACTCATCTCTCTGGATGGCCTTCTCTTTCTAGTTGGTGTCACCAAGTGTTTGTAGGTCCTTCTCTGCATCTTTTTCTTGGTCTGCTTCATGGTCTAGCACCATTCAGCTCCCTTGTGTATACAGTTTTTACTTCTCTGTCAGCCGACATTCTCTTAACATGCCCAAGCCATTTCAGTCTATTAGATCTCATGATGCCAGTGATCAATGGTGATTTAAACAGATGACGAATTTCGATAGTGTTTCTCACTCTTCATTCTTCGCTGTTTACACATATTTGATAAGTCCAAAGATTCGTCGTAAGACTCTGTTTTCGGGAATTTGTAATGAGGCTTCATCTCTTTTTGTTGTGATGCAAGTTTCAGAGCCATATAAAACGACTGATCTTATAAACATTTAATAAACTTTTATCATGGTGTTGAGATTTTTGAAATTCCCAAATATTTACCATTTAATTTATTGTCTGTTGATCTGACAAGTCAATGAATTAGCACAACACACGCGGTTTCTGAAGTAATCATCTCAACGGGTCACTAGGCCGAGCAACAACACCAGGATTCCATGTGGCAGATTGGAGATCGAATCACTCGCCAGTAAGTAAGGCGATGGTAATTTGTGTCAGTTGTGGGCCAAAAGTCATGACTCTGCTCTGCACAGTTGGTGGCGGCAGCAATATCCCTAGGGCCCTAAATCTATACGCTAAAGAAACACCGTACTACACGCCTTCAAGAAATGTAAATACAGACAGAAAAGATATATGCATATATATATATATATATATATATATATATATATATATATATATATATATATATGTGTGTGTGTGTGTGTGTGTGTGTGTGTCAGCGACTGTGGCTGAGACGTTGCGAACGAGCTTCGTAATGCTGGGGGTGCCAGGTTAGATCAAAGCTGCAGGCCATGCGCCTTGCGTTGGTTTCGACAGTGGTAACGAGAAGCCGACCGTCCAGAGGCAATGGCAAACTACTGGAGGTAAATTTGCTCAGAAAAAACAGAACAGCCAAAAGATGGTAGGGTTAATTCTGCAACGTCCTGTAAAGGATACGCAACTAACTTTCTGAAAAATATGTGTATATGTGTATATATATATATATATATATATATATATATATATATATATATATATAAATATATATATATATATATATATATATATATATATATATATGTATATATATATGTATATATACATATATATATATATATATATATATATATATATTTTTTTTTTTTTTTTTAATGTATCCAGAAACCATGAGTTGTAAACCCTTTGGCTCGGTACTATGGATATCGCAACCCTTCGGCATTGATTCCATTATAGGTACCGTTAATCTGGGAGAAATGTGGCTTTTTCTGCCTACCCCCGGGAGTGAACCCGGACCACAAGGAGTTCGTCACCCGGCCGCCGCAAAAATCAGGTTTAACCAACTTCGCTAGAGAGCCGGGCATATATATATATATATATATATATATATATATATATATATATATATATATATATATATATATATATATATATATATATATTCATAGTCAGAATAATAGGCAGTATTTAACTTACTGTGATAACGGGTGCCGACTCCGGATTCACGGAAACAGGATTTGCTGAAATGGAGTAAAACGTCAGTTGAATACCTTCTACCATCTACGGGTGCCAGCAACTGTCTGCCACAAAGGTAAAATTCAATTGTGTGAATACACACACACACACTTACACACACACACACACACATATATATATATATATATATATATATATATATATATATATATATATATACATATATACATATATTCATATATATATATATATATATATATATATATATATATATATATATATATACATATGGTACGACTAACGTGTTTCGCCACAAACAAACACTGGCCTTTAAATAATGCTTGCTGACCTTTCACATGCGCTGGTCTATGTTACAGATGTGTCACATGGTGTTCAATGTTCAGAGCCGTATGTATTGCGCGTCGTGTACTGGTTGTTGTGACGGCAAGCGACATAGCGTACTAAGAAGAAACTCCACATGGGAGCATGTACAGCAGGAGTCTACCAATCATCAGTAGAAGTAACCTCTGGTCGACAAATGTTTCGGCCCACGAGCTCCTAGACATTTTCAGAGAGTGGGCCCACCTGAGTTCATGAAGCTCAGGGTTGGTTTTCCCTGCTGCACGTATTACCGGATGTTATTCGGACAGGGACAAGACGAATTAGTGATTTGCAAACGGTACTGTGAGATAAGAAGTCGTGGCGGTAGCATAATTAAAGCAGTCTGCATACCTGGACGACAGAGTGGAAAGCTTACGATTGGTTTACCGGACACATGTTGGACTTCGTTAGCATATGGCAGAGGGACACTGGCAGACAATTCAGACACGGTGGACTTAAAGGGATGAAAAATTCTTTTCCACTAGACACCTTACCAGCTGACCGAGACACGTCCCCTACGTTGTTTCGTTGTGTCCAGCACCAGCGCGAGGCCCTCTCGGCAACCTCGCTCAGCTGTTTAAGTGTCTGTTTACGTTCATTACCGCGTAAGCCTAGTTGTTTAATCACACTGTAAAGTGAAGTGGAAACGAGACCTCTTGCGCCTACTAAATTATGGCTTTCTGTGATTTGAAGTAGGGCCTAGATTGACTTCAGCTGTCAGCGTTGTCGAGCGACCAGGAGAGATTGCTACAAGCGTTTGTGAAAGGTCAGCAAGTGTGAATGAAATGTCGACCAGTGTTTGTATGGGGCGCAAAACGTTACTAGTACCATATATGTATGTATATATATACATATAAGTATATATATATATATATATATATATATATATATATATATATATATGTATGTGTGTGTGTGTGTGTGTGTGTGTGTGTGTGTGTGTGTGCGTGTGTATGTGAGCGCCGCGAGCGAGTTTCAAATTAATCTAATAAGCACAAAGACAACAAATGTGCTGTTGGTGCCAAAGGATTGATTGCCTTGCCATTAATTTCAGTGGGAACAATTGTTTTAGATCGCGAGCAGTTCGGAGTAAAAAAAAAAAAATCTTTCCTGACCTGCGATACCACTGTATCTCGGTATTACAAAGCGCGTTTACAATATCTATATCTACAGCCTCTGGTACAAAGTATACAACTTGTTCCCTCCTCATGTCGTATCATATATAAGGCGCTAGTTCCATTGTTGTATTCACCGCTAGACGTCTATCAAGTGATGTAGTCAAAAATCACCCCGGCCGCCTTTACTTTCCTGAAATGTCCTGATATCAGTTTTAAACTGGGTTGGGCTGTGATTCCAGTTCAACAAAATCTCCGTGATTAGAAGAAACTTAAACCAATGGAATTTAGTGCACATGCGTTGAACAGGAAACTGAGTTACGTATCCGGGAACATCATTTACAGTAGATGGGAAACTGCATGAAGAAATTAACAACAGGTGCAGTAAAGAAAACCAAGTTATGGGGCAGCTAGCCCCCTCCCCTCCCCCCCCCCCACCCCCAACCACTGCCTCCCAGCTCCATTTTTTTTCCACACAGCATACTACAATCCCTATCAGCACAAAGACATATACAAAGCATATTAATCTATACTCTGTGCTACCAGTGCCAGACATGGTAACTCACAGCAATTTAAACAAAAAATTGTATAATCGTGGAAATCAGGCGTCAGAGAAAGACTGTAGGAGTGAGCAGAAGAGATTAAATCAAGAATGAGGTCAAAGGAGATAACTTTGGCACCAAACGAATTCTAAATTACCTACAAAGTCAGCACACACACGCAAACACAATTGTTTAACCTCTTAGAGAGAATGCTTCGTGACGCTATAACATACACATACAGGGCATACGCTAAAAGAGGAGAAGGACACAGAGCAAAAGGTAGACCAAGAATAGACTGGAAAAAAACAAATCAGAAAAACTATAGAACAGCACGACGCGCCTATGGTCGAGCGGCCAGAAAAACTCCACAACAGTACGACGCGCCTATGGTCGAGCGGCCAGAAAAACTCTACAACAGCACGACGCGCCTATGATCGAGTGCCCAGAAAAACTCTACAACAGCATGACGCGCCTATGGTCGAGCGGCAAGAAAAACTCTACAACAGCACGAAGCACTGCCATGGGAAATAAATAGGTTGAGGCAGAAAGGACGTCTAAAAGAAACCCTAAAACAAACGTCGATGAGAGAGGCCAAAAGTTCTGGACTGGATTCCATGCATGATATTGAACTGATTGCACTTGATTTTCTTGTGGTTCGTTACCCAGTCGCCGCGCAGAGGGCTTTAACAAACTGCGCTAGCGAGCCGGGCAATAATTGCTCATAACAAAATAAAATGGTGGAGGGTACTGCGAAGCATGTGAGACATATCATTGTACAACAGGACAACGAATGAATGAATGAATGAGAATATCGGCTCTCCTTTGAACTTCTTTATCATATTATGGCGGCCAAACAAATACCCCAACAGGGTCTCAGTAGTGTGTAAAATGCGGAGTGCCTGCCGTGGAACATATCGCGGCAAAATTAGGATCGCGTCCTAACAACGAGCCAATATTATCGCTGGCAAATACATGCTCTAACAGGGTTTCAGTGATATGTTAATTGCGGACCTGTTTCTACGACTATGGCGAACCGCCGACAGTATCCCGTGCGCCACTACGCGCTGCGCGGATGGAGGGGGTTGGGTAAACAAGATGGCTGGGACTCACGAGCAGCAGCTACAGCAACTCCTTCAACTTACTCCAATTTATTTGCTCGTGAGTCCCAGGCATCTAGGTTAGATTCCCATCCGCGCCGCGCGTAGCGGCGCGGGATACTGGTGTCGGTGAGCTTAACCGCGTCGAAAGAACACTATTGCTAATCTTTGTCGGAGCGCGTGGTCTCCCCACCATATCACTATTATCGTGTGTATTGTTGGTTTTCTCGAAATTGTCAACGGACAGTAATCCTAGTTTTGCCGCGATGTGTACATCGGAGGGAGTCCGCAATTTGCATATGACTTAGGTCCTATTAGGGTATTTGTTTGGCCGCCAAAATATGAGGACGAAGTTCGAAAGAGAATCAAAATATTATATTTACAGTCCGATGTTTCCATGCTGATTTGACAATATGAATGTTAGTAATGTTGAACACTCTCTAATGGTAGGTTCCTGGTCAAAGTTCTGCCAAACAGACTTCTGTCGCTATACGGATTCTCGGCAGCCATTTCTAAGCGTTGTCACAGGCGTCTACTTGCAATGCTAAACGGTGTTCAGTAGTTCCTCTTCATGTCGTGTTTAGGGTTTACAGTCGTTTCATGCACCATCGTTCTGACACAGCTGCTGCATTAGAAGAGGAGCTTCTTCATTTTCTTCTCTTACACCATTAACCTCATCGAGGTGTTGGGAGAAGATGTAAGGATCGACTGACTGTTCTCTTTTTCTAATGTATTGTACAAGTCTGTGTTTATTTCTGTTAGGTTGCTCCTGATGGTGTCGCTCCATCTCTTGCGTGGTCTTTCTCTTGTTTTGTGTTCGTTATATTTCATCATGATGGCACTCTGTGGCAGTTTTTACCAGATCATTCTCGTCAGAAGGCCAAACCATCTCATTTGTCTTTCTTTAAATAATTGTATGACTGGTTTCAGTCCTAGTCTTTTTCTAATTTCTTCATTCAAGATTTTATCTCTTCTTGTCACACCTGCAGCTAACCCTAGACATATCATCTCTGCTGTAACGATCCTCCGCTCATTTGTTGTAGCAAGGGTCCAGAAAGACAGAGCACAAATGAATATTCAGAGCTAGCGAATTCAATGGGCTTTCACAGTATGTTCAAGGGAAAAACCATCAAAGCTATGAATAGCGCTTTTGCCGGGACAACTAGCAGCCTCACAATGGAAACCGTGTCTGTAAGAAGGGCATTAGCGTGGTCTTGAATGCATGAGATCACACTGGCATCCATTCATAATGACTGGATAAAAATGCTTTAACAAATCCAGGTTCGGTTCATCGGACAAAAAATGCTAAATGTGGAATTAACAATCGACATCATAGCACTCGGGACACACCCATAAGCGTTCCGTCCCTATCTTCAGCAGCAAAACGAGGAGTTCTAATTCCAATAACACCAGTAAGTGTCTAATTGTACTTCCGTCCCATCCTTCCCTCGAGTGCTTAGCGTCGGCCAGATCCCATGGTAACTCCTCGCAACGCCATTCTCCTCAGACTCCAATGATCTGTCTGCGCTTTCGCACTGTTCACTCGCTCCCAGAATGCCCTCACAACATACTAGCTTGTCATATATCATTTTATGACCATTTCATGCATAATCGGCACCGTATCACCTGGATTGATTTGATTTGATTCAAGAACCGACATCACAGCACTCGGGGCATTCCCATAAGCTCTCCATCCTCATCTTCAGCAGCCAGCGAAGAGTTCCGATACTAATGGTGCCAGTAGCTTTCTGATTAAACGTCCGTCTTGCCTTTCCTCTGAGCCTAGAGCATCTGCCAGAACCTCTCGTCACTCCCCGCTGCTTCAATCTCGCCAGACTGTGGTGATCCATTTGCTCCTCCGAACTGTACACGCTCTCCCACAATGCACTAACCACGTCTGCCTTATCTTGTATCAGTATTCCACCAAGTTGTTCTGAACTAGCCAGTCTGTCCGTCTGTTTATTTCCCAACACACCGCCGTGCCCCGGTGAAAAAAACCAGACAATACTCCTCACCCGTGTCCTTCGCAGCGAAGCATGCCACGCTGCACGAAGCAAACCTGTTCTGATCTTCTTCAGCATGCTTTCTGAATCAGTTACAATCACGATGTGTGTGTGTGTCGTGTTCTCTAACCAACGGAAAGCTGCAGTGACCGCCTCCACCTCCATTCTTAAGCTGGATGTTGTGGTATCACTTGGAGAGAATATCCAAAGGATACTATCTACCCGGGACCTCTGAAGTGATGCATGCCACTTTGCACAGAGCATACCTGTCTTCACCTTTCTCAACATGCTCTGTGAGTAAGTGACAATCGATGAATGTATGTACAGCTGATTCTCAAGCAAGCGGAAGGCAGCAGTGACTGCCTCCACCTCTATTCTCAAACTAGACGTTGCGATATCATATGACAGGCTTTGCTGCACTAAGAGTTGTCCATTCGCCTTGGCTATGAAGCCCTATGCACTTCATCTGCCCCTCAACACAGAGCCGTCTGAACAGATAATCACATTGGTTAGTTGCATATCCTTTACAGGACGTTGCAGAACCAACCCCAAACAGCCCCTGGCTGCTGTGTGGTTTTTCCGGGCAAATTTACGTCCAGTAGTTTGCCATTGCTTGCTGTACGGTCGGCTTTCTTGATACCACTGTAGAAACCAACGCAAGGCGCATGGCCTCGCAGCTGGGATCGAACCCTGCATCCCGGCATTACGAAGCGTTCGCATCGACTTAGCCACAGAGCTGACTATAATCACATCACGTGGGGAACATTTTCATAAATCATTTGTTGATCTTCTGATTCTGCAGCACCAGAGGGCCAGTTCCTGCACTCACGACCCGAAGGGATAAGAACCCCGCACAAGTCTAAAGCTTGCTCGAACCAACCTTCTTCAATCCTGAGTTCTTGGGGTATGCATGCAATTGTGCTTTTCTTCACCCATGATATTTTTAGAACCCGCTTGTAACATTTGTATTAAATGACATTATTGCTCTGTTCAGCTTGTTTAGTAATTCTCCAGGTTAGAGAAAGGGGAAAAAAACAATATAAAAAAATATAAACCAGCCAGATTAGTCGAAAGTCGTAAACTGATATAAAAATTAGACGTAGGCAGCTGATTGGCGACCAGGACGTCCATTGGCTCGCCATTAGACGACTTCGTCGCTGGTCGGGACAGTATTTGGTTCTTTTTCTGGAGATAGGAATCCTTTTAAGTGCTTAATGGTGGCGGGCATTGCTAAGCAATTTTATATTGCATAAACTAGTCACAATTAAAACCTAAAGCTACTCTCTTTCGGGGCTGAGTTGAGTCAATAATTGTCATCACAGCGCTCGGGCATTCCCATACATGCTCCGTCCTCATTTTCAGCAGCCAGCGCAGAGTTTCAATACTTATGGCACCGGTCACAGTCTGATTATATTGCCTCTTCTCCAAGTTAGTGAGCCGGCCAGACCATCTGATTACACCCAGGTGTCTCATTCTCTCCAGGCCATAATAATCTTCTTTCTTTACTAATTCCGTTGCTTGTTCCCAAAGGGCCTTGAACACTTCTGTCTTGACATTTATCAATTCACCACCCAATGGTGCAGATCCAGCCAATCTGTCTCTCTGATCATTACCTACCAAGCCGTCATTGCCTGGAGAAAAGATCTAAACTATGCTTACTACCCGTGACCTTTCCAGTGAAGCTTGCCACTCTGCTGGAAGAATCCCTGCCTCCACATTTTTCAGCATGCTTTTAAAGTCTGCTATAATCACGACATGTGTATGCATCTTGTTCTCTAGCGACCGGACGAGCTGCAGTTACCGCCTCCACCTCCAGGGATGCTGGTTATATTTGACGACTTTTCCCTTCAGGTAAAGTACCTACCTAGCTAGTGTTTCCCGACATGTTATGAGAAAGAGTGAACTCGAGAACTTGATAACGTCTGGCAAGATTGATGGACAGAATTCAAGGGCGCAACAAAGATATATGCAAACTGGACTGACGCAGATATATCGAGATGGCGAGATAAGCGCACTAACCTGATCTGTGATTCTGGTGATTGTGTGAGATGGCAAAACATGACAGTTTCCTCTTAACGGTGGAGTGTGTGTGTGTGTGTATATATATATATATATATATATATATATATATATATATATATATATATATATATATATATATATATATATATATGGGTGAAAATAATGGCAGATTCATGCTGGGAACATCGTTATCGTTTATTTTTTTTTCCTCCTGCCTAGGTGGACAACGTAGTCGCGGTCATGGAGGCTCATGGTCGTGCAATATCATCCCTTAAATTATCAACATAATGGGGCCGCGTTAGCTCAGTCGATACGAGACTCGCTTTCAAATCCAGGTGCGACTAACTGCAGCTCACGTTCGGTGTTCGAAACCGGGCGGTTTCCGGGGTTTACCCAGCCTCTAGGAAATGGGTAACAGTGTTGACACTATGGGGTAAATGGATGAACGTCGCTGTATCTACGAAGTTACGTGCGGACGGGGACACAGGCGGACAGTTTATCCTCAGATGTCCGTTCTGGTGGCTGAGCACTTATGGTTTTATAATCGTGTGCAATGACGCTGGTTCACATATCCTGACTTTACCTTTACTTTTATCAACATAATGTAACAGATCCTTTGCAGAAAATCGCTATTTCAACAGACTGCCTGAAAGAATTTCAGTCTCTCACCCCCGCTTTCCTACCCAAGAAATCACTTATATCCTGTGCCCATCTTCGTGTTGGTCGGCCCCTGCCCTTCCATCCTGGTACCATGCCGTCTGAATGTTTTCTTCCATTCCGCCAAAACGCCTGATATGGTCAAAATAGTTCAGTTTCCGAGACAAGATGCTACGTATTCCCCAATCTTCCTTGATGTTCAAATCTTTTAGGATGTCAGTATATATATATATATATATATATATATATATATATATATATATATATATATATATATATATATATATATAAGGTGGTTCTGAGGGTCTTTCTAAAGCATTTCAGGTCAAATACTACAGATGCATTGCAATAAATGCAGTTCCCTTCTTGCATACAGTAGTATGTCTAAAACATTCACTGTTGTCATAAAGTTTTTTTGTTTTTTTTTAGTTTACAGTTTTCAGCGAATTGTTTTTTAAATGGAGATAATGGCAGTGGTGGTAGTTGTGGTTTTAGTGGTGATGGTGATGAGGATGATGATGGTGGCAGTGGTGTCATATATATATATATATATATATATATATATATATATATATATATATATATATATATATATTCTTTTTAAAGATCAGTGGCTGCAAATTGTGTATCTGGTTGTTAGTCCACTTACGTATTTGGTCTTATTCTATAATTCGTGTCTCGCCTATGTCGTGGAATGATAAGCCATTACGCATCACC